GTAAGTGCAGGGCATGCGCAGAGGCTCTGGGAGGGTGAAAAACGGGCCTCCTGGAAGTTCAGGAAGGCCGGAAATGGGCCCGTTTCCGGCCTCCAGAGAGCCTTTGGAGCCCCGGGAGGCTGTTTTCGCGCTCCCGAAGGCTTGAAAAAAACCTCCGGAGCCCGGGGAGGACAAAAACACCCCCCTACTATGGTGCAGGAGGCCAGTTTGGCCACGCCCACCATGGCCACGCCCATCCAGCAACCAGGCAGAGAACCCTGTGCTAAAATTTTTGAAGCCCAACCCTGGTCATAAGTTGAGGCCTGCCTGTATAACCCCCATCCTCAATTTCTCCCCATAGGACTCTGATCTTCTTAACCCCAGCCTTATTAAAATTCCTGGAACCTCATAAAATTGGAACAAACCGCACTCAAGTTTTATTAATCCTTTTGTTATTTAATCCTCTTTGCAGAGATTAGTTATCTGCTTAGGGGTATTTGAAGGGTCAAAAAAGATGGTGATCAAAACCCACATGAGTAAAATCCGGCCTACTTTTCTGTGTGTGTGCATGTGTGTGTTGCATAAAACAAATACATATTTTTTTTAGTGCAATTGCCATTTTGATATTTTGACTGCGCCCAGAAGGACTCCCCAGGGCAGAGAAGAGGAATTGGGGTTAAAAACAGAACTTGTTACAGTGATCTGCCTTGACATTTTGATAGACGTGATGAAGGCTTCTTTGGGGCTGTCACCCTATTCAGCCACAGGCAAGCAGATGTGTGTTATTCCAAATGCTTGGTTTTGCCTTTTGTTTTCCACTTTGAAATACAGCATCATTTTCTCACAGACAAAGCCATGATCTGACATTAAACATGTTCAAAATAAATCACAGCAGGAACAAACTCACTTTTTGCTTTTACATAAACAATAAAGAGAAATGTTAACAATCTATGTTATCATGGAAACAATACTGGAGGCAGTGGTGGGATTCAAATAATTTAACAACCGGCTCTCTGCCCTAACGATTTCTTCCAACAACCAGTTCACCAAACTGCTCAGAAAGTTAGCAACCGGTTCTCTTGAAGTGATGCAAACTGGATGAATCCCACCACTGACTGGAGGTGAAGCGGACCCCAGAGACCTGGAGGGCTAGGAAAATATATCTCTTCCTCCCTCCCCCCTCTCTCTTTTATATCTATCTATCTATCTATCTATCTATCTATCTATCTATCTATCTATCTTCTATCTATCTATCTATCTATCTATCTATCTATCTATCTATCTATCTACCTACCTACCTACCTACCTACCTACCTATCTACCTACTTATCTACCTATCTATCATCTCTAACTATCTATCTATCTACTATCTATCATATCTATCATATCTATCATATCTATCATATCTATCTATCTATCTATCTATCTATCTATCTATCTATCTATCTATCTATCTATCTATCTAATGCATACATTGCCCATCTCACTGTGCAAAGTAACTCTGGGTGGCTTACAAAGTAATAAGAACAAAAATATAGAAACAATTATAAGAACAATTGAAGTTACAAAGAATTAGTAATTCTAAAATTAATTGCACAGGCCTATAAGTGTAAGAAGGGGGCTAGATGTCTTCTTCAGAAGAACAGAGTTGGAAAGGACTCTTGGAGGTCTTCTAGTCCAACTCTCTGCTCAAGCAAGAAACCCTATACCATTTCAGACAAATGGTTGTCCAATCTCTTCTTAAAAACCTCTGGTGTTGGAGCACCCACAACTTCTGAAGGCAAGTCGTTCCACTGATTAATTGTTCTCACTGTCAGGAAATTCCTCCTTGGTTCTAAGTTGCTTCTCTCTTTGATTAGTTTTCATCCGTTGCTTCTTGTCCTGCCTTCAGGTACTTTGGAGAATAGTTTGACTCCCTCTTCTTTGTGGCAGCCCCATAACATTGCTCTCACCCTAGTCTTTTTTTTTCTCATTAAACTAGACAAACCCAATTCCTGCAACTGTTCTTCATATGTTTAAGCTCCAGTCCCCTAATCATCTTTGTAATCATCTTAACATCAATGACAGATATATTTTCTATATCAGAAACCCCTACCCATGAGAAGTTAGGAATCTGAAGACCCAGAACTTGCAAACCTCTTTCATATATATATATCCCAAGACCCTTATTTGATCTCATTTGTCAAGGAATGGTGGCATAGGTTGCTGTAATTTTGTAGCAGAAAATATAGGAAAATTGAAATGTTCTGTAATAATAATAATGGCCCAGAGAAAAATGCCACAGTAGAAATAAATCATGAACAATAATGCAGTTGAAATGCTAAATGGCCAAACCATTAGGCGCCATCAATCTGAAGCCAACAAGTATCTGAGCATTTTACAGTTGGATAATATCAAGCATGACAAATTAAAAATGTAATTAATGACAAATATATCCAAAGAATGAGAAAAGTGCTAAAGACAAAAATGAATGGGGAAATACTATCAAAGCCATCAATATCTGGGCCAAAGCTGTGACACAATATGCTGCTGGAATTATTAACACGACACAGGCTGAACTGGACAATTTGGATCAAAAAACAAGAAAGCTAATGACTGTTCACTATGCATTACATCTCCATAGAGATATTGATGTATTATATCTGCCCTAGGACTTCGCATTAACAGAGGGATAAAGTGTTAATATCACTTTATAATGCTTTGGTAAGACACTTGGAATACTGCATCCAGTTTTGATTGCCACGATATTAAAAAAAAATCTTGAGAATCAAGAACAAGTGCAAAGAAGAGCAAGAAAGATGGTTAGGACCAGTGGTGGGATTCAATTTTTTTTTACTACTGGTTCGGTGGGTGTGGCTTGGTGGGCGTGGCAGGGGAAGGATATTGTAAAATCTCCAGTCAGAAGTGGTATTTGCTGATTATCTGAACTACTCAAAATTTCTAATACTGGTTCTCCAGAACTGGTCAGAACCTGCTGAATACCATCTCTGGTTAGGACCCCGGAGGCTAAAATGTACAAAAAAACAACAACATTTGCAGGAATTGGGTATGTCTAGTTTAATGAAAAGAAGGTCTGGGGATGACATGATAGCAGTGACCTTTCTCCCAGCCCAATCCACCTCACACAGTTGTTGTGGGGAAAATAGGAGAAAAAAGTTGTGTTGGATATGTTTCCCATCTTGAGTTATTTGTAAAAATAATAAAGGTGGAATATACAGTGTGTATGTGTGTGCGTGTACGTGTCTATAAACACACACACACATACATACACATGCATACACACACACACACACAAATACAGATATACATGTATATATACACATACATACACACTACACTGTTACATAATGAAATCCTAGGTTCTTGAACCGTGATGGTGCAGTGGTTAGAATGCAGTATTGCAGGCTACTTCTGCTGACTGCTGGCTGCCAGCAATTTGCAGTTCAATTCTCACCGGCTCAAGGTTGACTCAGCCTTCCATCCTTCCAAGGTCAGTAAAATGAGGACCCAGATTGTTGGGGGCAATAGGCTGACTCTGTAAACCGTTTAGAGAGGGCTGTGAAGTGCTATTGCTATTGCTACTCTATGCTTTTGAAGGCCAACATGAGCTAAAGAACTTGAGGTTGTGATTTCATATTATATAATAATAATGGCAAAGTATTACATGGCCAGTACATTAAAGAAAAAAACCTAGCAGGCAAAACAGGTAACAAAAAGGACTGGCAACGGGTAAGAGCCAGAAAGTTGAAGAAAGAAACAGAGGAGCTAATTTTAGCTGCACAAGACCAAGTCTTAAGGACAAATGCATACAAAGCCAGAATTGAGAAGAGCACAAGAGACGGGAAATATCGTCTCTGTAAAAAGGCTGAGGAAACAGTGGACCATTTGGTTAGCTAGTGCAAGAAGATCACACAGGGTGACTACAAACAATGGCATGACAAAGTAGCAACAATGATGCACAGGAAATCTCCAGGAAATAGTTCTTGCCAGAAAGCAAGAACTGATGGATTCACAGATAGATGAAGTAATATGAAACGAAGAAGCTAAAGTGCTCTGGGATTTTAGACTTCAAGCAGACAAGCACCTGCCACATAACCACCCAGACTTAACAATGTCTGTCTAGTGGATGTTGCACTTCCTGGAGACAGTGGAATGGAATGGAATACAAAGAACTGGAGAAAAATCACACAATATACAGACTTGCAAACAGGGAAAACAACTGTGACAATAGAAAGCAAAGATAACGCCAGTAGTAATAGCAGCCTTGGTTGCAGTTCCAAAACATCTTGGATACCACTGGCATTGACAAAATCACCATTGATCAATTGCAAAAGGCAGCTTTACAGGTAGTCTTCAACTTACGATCACACCTGAGCCCCAAATTTCGGTTGCTAAGTGAAACATTTGTTAAGGTTTCTGCCCAGTTTTACGACTTTCTTGCCACAGTTGTTAAGTGAATCACTGCAGTTGGTAAGTTAGTAACATGATTGTTAAGTAGATCTGACTTCCTCATAGACTTTGCTTGTCAGAAGGTTGCAAAAGGTGATCACATGACCCCAGGACACTGCAACGTCATAAATATGAATCAGTTGCCAAGCATCTGAATTTTGATCATGGGGTATCCATGGGGATGCTGCAATAGTCATAAGTGTGAAAAACGTTCATGTGTGAAAAAAGATCATAAGTGTGAAAAACGGTCATAAGTCACTTTTCCCCCCATTAATGTTCTAAATTTGAATGGTCATTAAATGATCTGTTGTAAGTCAAAGATTAACTGTACTTGGAACAGCTTACATCCTGCATCAATATCTTATTAAACAACATCCAACTGTGTGACCAACCATAATAATATATTAAACTAGGAAGGAAGGAAGGAAGGAAGGAAGGAAGGAAGGAAGGAAGGAAGGAAGGAAGGAAGGAAGGAAGGAAGGAAGGAA